CAGACTGAGGTGGACTGAAGCAGACTAAAGTACACTGAGGTGGAGCGAAGCAGACTAAAGTACACTGGGATGGACTGAAGCAGACTAAAGTAGACTGAGGTGGACTGAAGCAGACTAAAGTACACTGGGATGGACTGAAGCAGACTAAAGTAGACTGAGGTGGACTGAAGCAGACTAAAACAGACTGATGAAGACTGAAGCGGACTGAGGTGGACTGAAGCAGACTAAAGCAGACTGAAGGGGACTAAAGCAGACTGAAGGGGACCCAGGCCCCCCCAGGTTCTCTCGGGGCCTGGTATCTGTTCTGGTTCAACAGATAAACATCCTGCAGCAAACACATCTCACCAAACAACACCAAATCACTTTAGATTCACATTAGCATGACCGCAGTGTCAGTTAGCATTTAGCTGACTCACCTGTTACTGGCTCCGCAGGTGAGGGAACATGTTAACGTCTCGTCCTCGATGTTTTCATCACAACAAACTGACTGAAGCGCACTTCAAGCTGTTAGCACTGTTAGCACTGTTAGCACCGGGGACACGACTTACGGCTAACAGCTAGCAGGTCCCGGACATGACCGAACGCATTGATCGAACTCCGAGTCAGAAAAAAGCGACAGAGAATCTGCTGCAGGTCAGAGACGAACTGTCACAGCTAACTGAAGCTAGCAGAAGCAAGCTAAAGCTAACTGAAGCTAACGGCCACTGAAAGGAGACGGAACCACAACTACGCCGGAAATACGGGTCTTTCGAAGAAACGGTGTTCTGTGGATTCTGTCCGCCAGGTGCTGTTCTCCGTCTCAACTCAAAGGTTAACAAACTCCTCAACATCATAATTAAAATACACGTTCATGATGTATGCGATTGAATAATTAATAACATTCATGGTGGTAAATACAGGTATAATCATCAGTGTCTAATAAATCCAGAGATCATTTTACTCCACGTGCAACTCAACACGTTCAGTTTTATTTTGACATTCGGACATTTTTTGACACATCCTGCTTCCTCTACAACAGGAAGTAAGACGACAAATGTGAGTCTCTGAGTGTGTCATGTTCTGCAGCACAGACACCTTCTTGACCACAGACTGTATATAAACCACAGACTGTCTATAAACTACAGACTGTCTATAAACTACAGACTGTATATAAACCACAGACTGTATATAAACCACAGACTGTCTATAAACTACAGACTGTCTATAAACCACAGACTGTATATAAACCACAGACTGTA